ATGCAGGAATAGGGCTAGCGGGATTGCAGGAAACGAGAACCCAACAAGGTACTATCCAAAGTAGGTCACATATCCGATTCTGTTCAGGCAGTGATCAAAATGGCCTTCTGGGAGTGGAGCTTTGGGTTTCTCTTGCCATCTCTATCGGCACGGACGCCAAGGGTCGTGAACACTATTTTAAACCCAACGAATTCGCAGTACTGAAAGCAGACCCTCGCAGGCTCTTCGTCCATTGCCGGAATGGATTCATGAATGTTCTGATAGTCGTAGCCCACAGCCCACATAGTGGAGACAAGCTCGACACGCGCAGACAATGGTGGACCGAGCTTGGTCATGATTTGCAAGTTCTTGCAGATGGCAAGGAAATTATCATGTGTCTTGATGCCAATGCCAGGATTGGAGAGAGCAGAGGATGGCATGTAGGGGATCTGGCTGACAATATTACCACTGTTAACGGGCAGTTCTTGATCGACATCCTAGAAGAATTCCAGCTCATGCTACCCGCAACCTTTGCGGACTATCATTGGGGAACCATTTGTACATGGACTCACCCAGCAAGCAAAACAGAAAGCAGACTGGATTATATTGCCATTCCAGTTTCTTGGGGCCGTGGCCATCTTGCCTCTTGGGTAGCTTCAGACATACATGCTGGACATGCAGCTGTTGACCATGCCTGTGCAGTCTTCGCCATTGCATGGAAAGCCCTTGTCCAACCTCTGACCAAAACTCGTAGAGGTTTTGACAAAGCAGCCCTCCAGAGGCCGGAAGCAAGACCTATCTTGCAAGAGATCGTGCAGAATGCCCCCCAGCCTGATTGGAACGTCAATGCCTCAGTGCACTCTGCGCAGCTTACATCCTACATCAGAAATGAATTAGTCAAATCTTTCCCCAATGAGCGATCAATGCACCAACGCGCAGTTGCTAGTGAAGAAGCAACGAAGTTATGCAAACAGATCACTAGATACAAAAGAGAGCTCAGACCATATAAGAAAATGTATAAGGATCTTGCTCTTCGCAGGTTCTTTTACGCATGGAAGGGAGAGCTTTGGCAAGAAACACAGCTTCAGTGGGCGCATCGCCTGCAGCTCCGTATGACAGTCCTGCAAAGAGAGTTGTACTCTATGTCAAGAGATCTGAAGCTATGTTTGAGAAGGGATCGCAATGGCTTTTTGCAGGACCTGGTGAGCAAGACACAAGGACTTAATGTTGCTGAAGTCTTTCGACTGCTCAAACCCCTGATGCATAAGGCAAGAGTACGTAATGCTGCTCGTCCACTACCCAGGATTGAAAAGTTGGATGGTCAGTTCTGCGAGAGCCTGGAAGAGGTGTCCGAAAGATGGACGGAACACTATGCGGCCTTAGAAGGAGGAAGGAAGAGGGAAATCACCACCTTCGTCCTCGAGCAAATCAAGAGGCAGTCAGTGGAGCCAATGCCGGATTGGCAAAAGCTAGAAGACCTTCCTTCTCTTCTTGATTTAGAGGCAGCATTGCACCGTGTCCATATTAATAAGGCTATGGGGCCAGATGCGATCCCGGGTGAGATCTTGCATCTCTTGCCGCGTGAATGTGCTAGATTGCTCTTCCCATTGCTCATGAAGTTCGCAACCACTCTCTCAGAGCCCTTACAATGGAAGGGTGGTAAGCTCATAAGCTTATATAAAGGAAAAGGAAGCATGTCAGCTTGCGCAAGCTTCAGAGGAATACTGCTCATGAGTACAATTGGCAAGGCTATCCGAGCCAGTATGAGAGCCAAGGTCAACGAACCCTTTGTCCTCAACAGTTCAACGACACAGTTTGGCGGCAAGCCACAGCAGAGTGTCATTTTTGGCGCACAGATAGTTCGGCATTTCTGCGCACGACAGAAGGCGCGGAATGCGTCAGCAATCATTTTGTTCTGTGACATCACATCAGCCTTTTACCGGCTGTTGAGACAGATCGCGGTCGGAGCCAACACTTCGGATGAGGATGTTGCCGCGATCTTGAAAAGGTTAGGACTCAAAGAGGAGGTCATGGAAACACTGCACTCTGCGCTGCAAGGGCACACTGCTTCTGACGAATTAGGAGCCACGGGGAGCCAAAAGGCCCTGCTAGCCGAGAGCCTCCAGGGCACCTGGTTTAGAATGGAACAAGGCAGCCTTGTTGAAACTACGATGGGCACGAGACCAGGGGACTCATGGGCAGATGTCACCTTTAATGTTTTGTTCTCTGCAGTTCTTTCAGAGGTGCTGGAAGAGCTGAGGCCACTCGGGGCCACTATTTCGGTGCCAAATCGCTGTGAGAAGATACTGCAGTCTTTGGAGGATGGGGAAGAGGCAGAAGAGGTACTGCACTCGACTTGGGCAGACGATTTAGCCGTCATGCTAGCAGTTGAATCCCCGGCGCAGGCAGAAAGGATATCGTCTCTAGCGGCACAGAGTCTGCTATCAGCGCTTGCCAAACGGGGAATGGAAGCCTCAATTGGTGCTGCTAAAACTGCGATTCTCATGTGTCTTCGAGGTCAGGGAGCAATACAAGCTAAGCGCCGAATTTTCTGCAAACCAGATCCAATTGTACCGGTAATCCTCGAACACAGAACTGTTCAAATTCCAATAGTTACCCAGTATAAGCACCTTGGCGGAATCTTGAACGCAAAATCCACCTTGATGGACGAAGTCCATGCTCGTGTTGGCAAAGCCAAAAGTGGGTTTTGGCGAATAGCCAAAACTATTTTGCGTAACAAGCAGATTGCCTTGGAAACTCGAACACAGATTTGTGAGGTGACAGCGATGTCCATCCTTCAATGGGGTGTAGGAGCATGGCCAATCCTCCAAAAAGGAGAGTGGAAATGCTGGGAGGCGGCCTGCTGGCACCTCATGAAATTGCTTAGCCCTTGCCGGCCCCGGCCTGACCTCCACACCTCAAATGACGAGATCTTTCTTTCTCTCAATATGCAGTGGCCTGGGGACCGTATTCAGGCTGCACGCATTCGCCACTTAGGTTCCATGGTTATTGCAGGGCCCAATGCCCTCTGGGGAATGTTTCGACAGGATCCTCAGAGCACAGCAGCCATGCAGCGCAGTCTTGAGTGGTTTTGGAATGGAACAGGCAGGGATCAGATGTTCCCTCCAAAGCAAATTGGGAGGCCTGGAGAGTTCTGATTTTGACCAACTATCCGAAATGGAAGAGCAAGATTAAAGCAGTTGTGCGCAGATATCAGTCTTTTCGGCATAGGGAAGCCAGGTGCAGGCAATGGTATAGAACACTCCTGCATGAAATTGAAGAAGCGAGTGGCTTCTGCCAAACGATTGACGCATCAAGCATGCACCTTTGCTTACTCTGCCAGAGAGCTTTTGTGAACAAACGCGCCTGGTTCCTGCACGCTAACCAAAAACACTCATATGTGAGTATGGTAGGAGAGATCGTGAAAGGTACAAGATGCCATGTTTGCGCGAAGGAGTACTTTCACAAACAAAAACTCCATCATCATCTGCGTTACAGTGCCATTTGCCGAGCACATTTCTGGGAGACTAGGCACACAGAGAAGACTGAGCAGACGGCGCCCCATTCGCTGCACCCTTGGGTTAGAGTTCCGGAAGTGATTGCAACAGCGAATGAGTCGGTATTCGACCGTGACCTGTGTTTACTCACTGCCGATCTGGACGAAGCAGTGCGCCGATTCACTGACGATGTGACAGCTGACGACTTTGCACCAGCCTTAGCTGACAGACTGAAAAGTGTTTGCACCAGATGTGCGCCCTTTGCCATAATCCATCAGGGTTTTACGCAGTGGGCTGGAGGCTTTCTTAACAGTCATGATGCCTCTCTGCTTCAAGCCTTAGTGCTAGTTGGGGAATGGCTGATCTCAGTTGCCCACGAGCTTGTGCCTGAGTTCGTGACAGCAGATCTGACAGATGAAAGGAGCAGACGCGCCATTTCTATCACAGAATGTGCAGTACGTTGCCCGCAGATATTTTACAAGCAGCGATTTTTCCTTCATCTCTATAGTGGCAGGAGACGCGAAGGAGATCTCCAGACGGCCCTCGAAGCTGTAGAGCTGCCACCGGGAACTCTGATGTCAGTCCTCTCGGTGGACATCATGGTTGGAGGTGAACGCTGCAATCTGATGAGCACCACTGCGCAAGATCTTTGGCTGAGAGTGGTCCGGGAAGGCCTAGCACTTGGCACAGGAGCAGGGCCACCATGCGAAAGCTGGTCAATAGCTCGTGAACAGGTATTGGAAAACGGAAATGGCCCAAGGCCAATACGATCGGCAGATGAGCTCTGGGGGAGACTGGACCTCACTAAGAAAGAAAGCCTCCAAATCTCTGTCGGCAACACTCTGCTGACATTCTCCCTGCTCATTTGTTTTCTTCAGGCAAGGATGGGTCTTTTTTCCTTCCTGGAACACCCTGAGGAGCCACAGCAATACCGCAGGGGTGTCGAACATGCGGCATCAATATGGCGCCTGGCAGCCATACAGTGGTTCCGCCAGACTGGGCTCTTCTGTGAACTGGCAGTCGAACAAGGGTTCTACGGCGCAAAAAGCGCCAAGCCGACACGCCTCTTACTTAGCGGCATTACGGCTGCCAGAGCTAGAGAGATCGCCCAGCAGACCAAGAATACCCAACGACCAAAGCTTGCTTCGATAGGTTCAGAAGGCGGACGATGGTCAACATCTTCCTTAAAGGAATATCCGCCGCAGTTTTGTCACATGCTTGCAGCTCTTTTCGCGGAGGCGGTTGAAGCTCAGAGCGGAAACTCCGAGCTCCCGACCTGGTGCGAATGGCTGCCTAAGCTCTGCATAGCCGGACAAAGGGAAGAGACCTTTGGACTGGACTTTCAGAGCTGTGCAATTAATTCACCCGAATGCATGCCAGGCGGTGCGCTTGAGTGATCGGTCCGCAAATCGAAAAGTCGAAAAAAAAGTGCACCATCGCGGTTCCATTCATGTCCCACGCACCAAGGGTTTGGGTGCGTTTTGTTAAAGAGTTCTTGTTCAACTTTGGATGCATTTCGCTCAGGCCCAGACCAAGATCGCCAACGTGAAGCCGGTGAAGGGCAGGCGAGCCCTGACCGAGACGCTGCGCGTCTCGTACGGCACCGCGTACGGCACCGCTTCGATCGGTGATGTTGGTGGAGAGTCCATGGGATTCCCATAATAAAAATACTCCTGGTAACATCCTGTAACTGTAATTTGATTGTTTGATGGGTGTTTCATGTTTTTTTTCTCAAAGACGAAGTCTCTGAACCTCAATCTCTTTGTAATTCAAACCTGAGACTCCACAACCTTCCAAAAACCATGTTCGCCTCTGATCCACCTCCTTCCCCCGTTTGCTTCGAAAGCGAATCCACCCCCGTCCTCGTGTCCTCGTCTTCGCTCGTCCTCGCCAGGTTGCTCTTCACGCGCCACGAGATGGGCACCGAGTCCTTGGAATTGGAACCCGCGCGCATTGACTTCGATCAGGCGCCGCGCAGGTCGAACCGGAGCTGTTTTAGTCTGGAAAGCGGGAATGAGGAGGGAGAGGGATGACTGATGATCCAAAGTCACAGAGGTGGGGTGCTGGATGATGTTGGTATGAGTCGAAACGACATGATTATCATGATTGCGTATTGTCCTGGTAGAAATTTGAAAGAAGCGAATAGAAGCGAGGGTGTGTTGCTTTGGGAAAGTACTCACTCCAGGTTTGCTGCAATTATTGCCAATCAAGGCCAATCAAGCACTGTTGACAGATCATTAAGGTTGTGAATTCATCCACGTTTCTACCTGGCACCATGGTTTGGAGCATCACTTGATTTTGACCAACAAACTCACAGCTGGTGCTGTTCAGGGGGGATCCCCTCAGGGGACGCGTTTGGTGTTAAGACGAAACCAGCACGACATTGTTCATTGAAAAACATGCACCTGGTACTTTCCAACTTGGACAGGTGGTGGGGCCACTCTTTCCTTTTACACACCGCAGGCGCGAGAAGCGAAGCGCGAGAAGTACGTACGTTTTGACTGAGGTTTCTTGAGCTGGCGTTGAAGACAGATGTGGCTTGCTTTCACCTTGGAAAGATGAAATGTATATAGAGCATGAATATATGGAATATGCATGGTTTTACTACTTTCCAGAACTTCCAACCAGTTAGTGATAGTGTTAGTGATGTATTCTTCTTGAGGGTCCCCAAACATCCCCTTTCCTGGGTCAAGCAGCGGTTCGTCCTTTCCGCAAGCCGAGCCGTTTTTTCAGCGACCCGGGACCACCGGGGTGCGAAGGATGCACCTTGTTGAGTCCTATTGAGTCCTGTTGACCTGTTGAGTCGCATGCTTCAGGATCCGATTTCGCCCTGTTGAGTCCTGTGGTTACCTTGTCAGTTCTTGCACCGACGCAGTGTTCTTCAAGCCAATGGGCATGGATTCCATACGTCGTATAAGGCGGTGTAGGACGGAGGCCGGCTCTCAAGCGGTTTAGGATTGCGTCAAAAAGGAACAGGGACTTCTTGACCAGTCGCATCGGATCCATAATAAGATAGTAACACCATCCTAGCCAGCCATTCATTATTTTCTCAAACTGTTGTTGTCTTTGGTGCTAATGTGCAAATCATCACGCAAGTGACACGTTTTGTATCAACCAAATGCAAAGACTTGCGGTTAAGGCACCTCTTCAATTCGATTGCGCTAGGAAGCTGGAGTTGATCACAGAGTTCCACCCTTGGTTCAGTGAGGAGCAGAAGTGACGTGTGAAGTCGGGAGCTAGCCGAAGTCGGGAGCTAGCCAGATTCTCAGCAGTTAACAGGAACAGAAGCAAGTGTTCAAGCAAACTATTGAATCTGTTGCCCAAGTTGGAACGGTTTGACAAGTCTTGTAGCCACTGATCTTTGGCATGTCTCCTGATAGGATTATATAAATAGACACATATTAAACCCAGGGGTTGATCGCAAGATCCCTCAGCTCGTTTTGCTGTTTTCGATACCTTGTTAGAGATCCATGCATGCAGCTACAACAATGTTGTGTTTCTTGAGTTGTACTCCAGAAACAGCCTATGCCTCTAGAATGGATGTCTGCACAAAACAAAGTTGGTTGAGTTGGATGTCCAATTGCCTTTCGATTGGAAAGGGGTGTGAAAGGGATGTCCGGCTAGCCGGCCAGCAGCATCTGACAAACCGGCCAGCAGCAGCATGCGAACCGTATACATGTGCCCCCAGTGTATGACGTTGTACGACCTCTGTGTGAAAAAGAAGTAAGCAAGCATGCAACACTATTCCTCCCGAAGTGCTTCATTCACACCTCTGTCCAAGATGGTGTAACATGAAAGATCACCACCTCCAGGAGGCTGGTTCATCTTCACCTTGGGGCCGTCCAATCTTGCCGCCCGAGAACCTTGGCACAGAGGGCGCGTCGGCGCCCGTGGGCAGCGATGCTCAGAGGGGTGGGCACCGGTGGCCCAGGAGCTTCAACCAGATCATGCTGGGCATGGTGGGTGGAGCCCTAGGGCCCAGGCGACCGGTGAGAAGACGGGCTGTTCCCGATGTTGAAGGGTTCAGAAGTTCAAAGATGACGACGTGATGTTGGGTGTTACATGGTGTTATACTATTATACTATTATATATATACTTAATATTACTCAATCATTGTTTTACCAATATCTTAATACTATTGCTAAATCATTCAGCACTGATACTGACATCCAGCTGCAATGCTGCATTCCATTCTGCATTCATCCCACCAAGAAGGAGTCTCCTTCCGCCCGGAGGTTTCCGTCGCTCCCGGGCGATGCGTGGCTCGAGGAGGCGACGCGTGGGAAGACTCCAAAAAACTCACTGAAACCCCGCAGTTCGAAGGTATATACAGTATATTACAGTATACCAAATATAATCCAAATATGGTAAATATGTTGGAAGAACTCCACTTCATCCATCCATAAAGCACCTGTTGATAGCCACGGTAATAGCAACATTTATTACATATTATAGATTACAGTATATATATAGATATGATGTCAAAGCAAGTCAAAACCACTTGGAATTTGTTCCAACTTCCACAGGTATCCACAGTATTCACTTCAGGATCCAGAAGCTCATAGCATACGTCTATAATTGGACGGATCCACACGCGAGGCCTTGAAGGGCCGGACACCTGTGGGCCTCTTTGGCGGATGTGAGGTGTGGACCTCAGTGCTCAGGTGGTGAAACAAAGATTTGGGGCATTCCCCTCTGAAGTGCAATGAAAACCCCTTTCCAAGTGAACGAAACTCCATTCAAATGCTCAATTTTCAAGCACTTCGAAGGGGATGGCTTCATATGGCTTCTAGTATTCTTCACAGCGGTTCACAGCGATTAGGTGTTGTAGGGCGCGGATGGTACCAGTGGATGGGAAGAACCCCAACGTGTGGTGAATCGGCGTCACCCAGTAATTAGGTGAGTAGCTGTTGCTCAACAAGAACAGGACTGGCTTCACGTTCGCCCAGAGGAGGTGGTCCAGCGCATCTCCAGTCTTGCACTCCCACTAGCAGTTCGGTTCCACTGCCCCCTGTTCAGGTGATTCTCCATGCTGGTCCCGTCTTTGTGGGTGAAGACTACCAATGCCGCCGCCAGCTGGTGGCATGCGGCGAGACGCCCAAGGCGGAGTTCAGGCCAGCCACACACACACGGTTTGCGCGTGCATAGACGCGCGTTTAGCACGGGGGAACTCCGACTCGTTTTAGGATAACGGGATCTCAAAAATAGATCGAAAGTGTGCCTAAAAACCCGGTGAGAAGCGGCAAGCACCAGTCCTGCAGTCCTCATTTGAAATGGCCATCAAGCCCCGCATGGACGCGAAGCTTGATGAGGTGGACACGGACCTTCCTGTACGAGAAGAAGTCAGGGAAGTTGGTTGCCGAGATGACGCTTCAGGTGGGTGTTCCTTCCGGCGCCTGAAGTGCTTGGGGTGATGGTCACACATTTCCCCCAGTGGTCCTTCCTAATGAACATCACATGCAGTCATGGAAGGACCAATATGCTTGAGGAATACAGCCGGGTGCCAGGGACCCCTGGGGGTTTCCAGAAGCACTATGGGACTTTTGGGATCCAGGAGTGTGCTGGCGCTTGGTGGGTAGACCGTGACTCACCGTGACACCCGGTTGGTTGGCCGGACCCGCGTTCGCAGCTCCAGGACATGCAGCTCAAGAACTCCTTAGAAGGATACGCGGAACTTCGTGCACGCAGCGATGCGACCCAGGCTGAGGGCTGTTGAGAGGTTTGAGTTGATGTTGTTTCTAGCGAAGGTACATATAGGTCAAGGCATTGGAGGCCAAACCGAGGTCCCACCCGCTCAGACCTTTGTAACCCAAACAGTTTGCGAGTTTGTCTTCAGAATGTCTACTTGTGTGCATGTTCTGGAAGTGTAAAAGCTTCAGGCATGCCCTCTACTGCTTAATGTTTGGACCACAGTTCTTTGCAAAAGTAGACCCAATCCATGAGTCGCGGGCGACGGACCCATGGCTGAGATCGATCCTCCAATGTCCTCTTGAAAGAGGACCGAGATCCAGGGCCTTCAAGGGGTGGTAGACATGGACACCCCTTATATAACAGCTAAGGTGCTATAAATAGACACCCCTTGCCTTGGAGGGTCCGGGTATATATTTATTCATTTGGGCCGTTGTGGCACGCCAGTCCTTCATATCATTTAGATTTGTGATCCAAACCTTAGAACCTCAAAGTCACTTTCGAACAGCAGGCAGGAAGGTGAACAGCAGCTGAACAGCAGGCATTTGGCCAGTAGCAGGTGAACAGCAGGCAGGACTGAACCACAGATCACCGCTTTTCCCCGCTGGTCAGGCGAAGCTGTAACGCATTTGAAGCCTTCGGAAAAGAGGGCCCCATTCTGGTCAGGCGTACGCTTTGCCTGGTGCTGGTGGGTGATAAGACACCAACTTTCACTAGCTTTAGCTTTTTGTGTTGTGTTTTAGGATGTTTGGGGTTTCGGCACTGTTTTTGTGTGTGTCATGGTCATAGACTCGCTTTGTCCTTGCAATGTGTTTTGAAGTTGATCACAATACCTGCGGTTTGTGCTTTGAATCCGCTGCTGCAACGGATTGATTGTGTCGGCTCAAGCTGTTCCAGACACGCCACGCGGCAGGAGATGGGGGAGATGGGGACAGCTTGCAGATGTGGAGTGGAAGAGCAACGGTAAAATCAACAGTAATTATACAGCATCACCCGCATTTGGAAGACTAGAGTAGTGATTGGTGCCGAGAAAAAGCATAAGAAACACCGTCACATGTTCTTCACCAATCACTTTCTTTGATTAATGTTGAAACCCACATCAAAAGACTGGCTCCAGACTCCCAGAACCAACCATTCGTTCAAGAACTTTCTGTTTTGGGTGCGTGAGTTTTCTTTTGGAACCCTGAACTGCAGGGGTTGCTAGTCACAACCTAGCTACAGGTTTTATCGTTTTGGATAGCTACGGTGCGGACCACTTCGTTGTGTAAATCAAGCTCCTAACCCACAGCGCATGTGTTGACCGACCTCTTCTCACTGGGGGCTGTGCCGACATCCCAAAGTCCACAACCGTGCCGAGCAGGAGAGATGGTGGCCGACGAAGGAAAGAAAACAGGCGATGGGTGATTCACCAAATGCAGCAAACTGATTGGAGATTGAGGGAGAGGAGACAGCAGGGATGTTCAGGGTTTTCTGAAAGTGAGGGGACACTCTAAACTTAGGGGTGGCACTGCAATCTAAATATGCCAAAGGATGCCAAAGGGTTGTTGGTTGACAGGCGCCTTTGAAGACAATTTCATACTTTGGAGCAACGAGATTGCCATTTAAAAGGTCTCAAGATAGGGGTTCCTCAAACCAGTGGGTTTTGTTTCCAGTCCTTTCTGCCACAAGGTCCTACTTGGAAACCCATGACGGGAGCAAACCAGGAAATACAATGCCAAATCATTCCTTACCTTTAAAACATGTTTGCTGACCAATCGGTCGTCGGAGTTTTTGGTTAAACTCAGTAGGCTGCTCAAGTATCACCAAGAGTCCTTGACTTTCTCAGAAATCTGGAGTGGATATCGTGTGGCAAGAAGTGTGGCATGAAAGACAGGCACTGGCTACTGGCAACCCGGGCCCCCTGATGACCCTTGTTCGTTAAACAAGAGCATCCAAGGCATGGAAGCCCGTAAGTTGCCCAAGTAGTAGAAGCCTCGTCGATTGGTGACCCCTTCATCCTGGTGGCTGTTGAATCCTTTGGTATGGTCTAACAACCTCAATCCGCCAGGAATGGCCACCAATGGCCGGGAAGCCCACATGGGTACATTTGCCAAGCAGTTCACGGCCATTTGAGTTCTATCAGCTTCAGTTCATATCAGTTCACTAGGTATTGTTTGGTGCAATTGACAACAACAGCTTTTGCAACGCATCAGTGGCGCAGAAATGCGTCTTGAGATTCCACATTCAAGTGGATCAAATTGTTTGGAACACCTCAATCTTCTCCAGAGTGTTTTTGCTGGGACCAGGTGTGGTCGAGAGTTTCTACGATTTCTTTGCGTTGGGCTGGCCTGCTTAGTCGAGCTATGCCCTTCCCACGCAAGTGCGCGCCACTTGATGGAAGCAACTCGTGAGAGAGATGTGAAAGACGATGATTGTAGGATGATGATGATGATGATGACGATGGGAAGGAGAACCCACGTGGAAGGTCATATCTCCTCATGGCCATTTCGCCTCCTCCGATAGGATGGCGGAAGGTGCGGATCGGCCTCCGAGCTTCCAGGGTCTTTGGCGGCAGAACTTGCTGCGGCCTCATGGGTCCTCCTTTGGGCTTTGCAAAGCTCTGTGATTGCAGCAAAACAGGGACAACGATTTCACTTGATGTGGAAAGAGGATGGCATAGACCCTTTCGGGAATTGTTCTGACCATCCTGGACCAACAACTGCTTATCAGGATGGATCTTAGTGAGTGGTGAATCCAGGTCGATCACCGATCACCCACATGCACCACCCACAAGGGTTCACTCACTTTGCGCTCCGTGGCAGGCAGCTCTACTCCAGTAGTTTCACAGCACAAGGTGGGGCTCGCCAAAACATGCTGGAATTCTTCCAACAACACTTGGAACAACTATTGAACAAAGAAGTTCCAACTATTCAAGTTGTGTTTTCAGGAAGTCCATTCACATGGTTTCAACACTTCATCCATTCCCCCTGTTGTGTTTTCCAACTCTTGTGGCAGCCTTCAGGCGCTTGAAATGGAGGTGCTGAAATCCCCTCAACGCATGCGGTCCAACTTCTGAACTGGATTGTTTGAACAACGGAATGTCCCGCCACATTCGTGAACACAGATTGAATTGGGCTGGGGAGTTTGGAAGATGCTCACTAAATATATAATGAATATATTTATAATATGATAATGATACTTTTCATCCCATTGACATAGATGTTCATTTCTCGTCATTTTTCAACAACCTTGAGGGGGTGAGAGCCGCTTGCATGATACATCTAGGTCGTGTGAACTCACCTACTGCTCGGTTTCACCGGTATATGACCAGCAGCGAATTTGAGAAGTACGACATGTGCAAGAGACCCCGCAGGCGCCGCAGCGAGGGGGCTCAGCCGATAAAAAGATCTACTGCAGGGTCTTTGAAGACGTGGACTTGGTGGGGTGTGGGTTGAAAGACCAAATCGGGTAGGCCAGACAAAGGGTGTAACTCCAGAGCCTCCTGATCAGGGGTAAGTAACGGGGGGTGTTGCAAGGGCCGGCTGCAAGGGCAAGTGGTTGGATTTGTTTTCTTTTGAGTACACCAGGGGGCCACAGGACATCTCAGGGACTCTTCTGTTCAAACAGGTGTTCAGGGTTTCTGATTTCGGACAGACAGATGCAAACCAGAACTTGTTTCAGTCAACAGTCAAGCCAGCAAAGTGCTGAAATGTACTGAATGTGCAAAAATGGTGTTCAAGAGAAATGCCTATAGTTCTTTTCCACACATGTTGATATGAATCCAAGGCCCGTGACGCCGGTTGGATATTTTGCGTGAACATTATTGGAGATCTTGTATGATCAAGTTGATGTGTGTTTTCTTTTGTCCACAGGTGTCCAGGGTAGACAGACACACTGTCTAAACTCCTCGGAGTGGCCTACCAACCAAAAAGAAGAAAGGACGCGGTGTTACAAGATAGAATGTTTTGAACATTCACTGATTCTTCCTGAACTTGATGATCTATATATTATATATAATATAACATATTATATTATATCTAGTTTTTAGTTGAATTTATAAATATATATATATATATATGTGTGTGGGTGTGTTCCTTTCAGGGTCCCTTCCACATTTGGCCGATCCTTCACGACGAGGCCGATCCTGGTTTGGCCTCACTGGCTCCATGGGCCACCTGGACGAATCTTCGGTTTCATCACCGCGTGGGGAAGAATCATCATTGGTCCTTAGGCGAAGAATTCATTGGAGGCGTTTAGTTTAGGTGTCCATGCCTTTTCAGGAGTTCGGTGTCCGGAACTGAAGCGAACCTTTGGGTCCCCAAAGATCCATGTCCGAAGGGGAGAAGTCCAACACATGGACCTGGCTTTGGGCCGAAGTTGGATGTGGGAGCGGAGCTTGGCTAAGGGGCTCCTTCTTGGATACAAGCCGATCTAGTATCGTTCCGAGGGAGGTTTGCAGGGCTCCTTGTCACAAATCCATCGAAGAAGGTTGCCTGATAGAAGGGCAAGACATTTATCGACGTGCTTTCATTTGGTGAATGCTAGAACATTTTTTTTATTTTAGGCTGTACTAGCTTGCAACATCATGTACTGCACTAGGACGAACCCTGAGGTTGGCGGTTAGGAACCCCATAGGGGTCAATCAATCAACCCCATGGTGATTTTGTTGCACCCAGTCGCATTGTTATTGGAAACACAGACTGTACTTGATATGGACAGAAGAGGCGAAACCTCAAGACTCTTGGCACAAATCTGATGTGGTGGCTAGTGTTGGGCTTCAAAAGTTCTGTCTGATGGGGAGATATATATGTTTCAATGGTCGGGCAGGAATAGATGGCTACACCACATGTTTGAGCAATGCCATCTTATCTGAGCCAAGTGTAGATCAAACTAGGGTAAAATCCAAACGGACTGGCCAGAGCACAAGTAAAGCAGTGGATCCAGAGTTCTTAATGTGTGTGTGTGTGAGTGCGTGTGTCTATTTGCTAATGCCATAATATCTGTGATTATATGTGTGTGTGGCTGAAAATGAGGAGGCTCTCACAGCCGATTTGGTCGTGAGGCGAATGAGCTGGACAAAGCGCGGATCGAGGCACCTCGAGTGCAGAGGTCGAAGCTGATGCAGTGCTGATTTCCTGTTACGGGGTTTGAGCAACTTCCAGAAGACCTTTGAGTGTCTAATTGCCAAACTTCCTTTAAAGCAACCATATTTCTGAAAACAGTGTGGCTGTCCGGGGAGCCGCAGGTTTCAGCTGATGCAATCTGCAATCTGCAGAGAGTCGTAGTTTTCAGGACATCATCCAGGATACCATCGGAACACCCATCACAGATCATCACAGATTGCTTGTTCTTGCGGTGTGCAAGACTTGATTCGCCACCCGGGTTTACTGAGGAGACAAGTAAATTCCTCGACCGATTCCCAAAACGGACAGCGAACCCTGGACGTCCATCCGCCAAGGCCGATCTGAAGCCGGAAGGGCTTCAGTCTAAGGCTGACAGGTGCACCGGTGGGCAGGAGTTGAGACCCCTCTAGAGCTGTAGCACTCATGAGTTGGCAGATGGCAGGTGCATTCCTTGGTGAAGATGGAGGATGTATAGGAAGACTAGGTGATGGTTTCGGATATACATGTTTTTTTCCACCCTTACTTGGGGATGATTGGACCTCTGACTACTATTTTTCAAGTGGGTTGAAAACACCAACCAGAAGAACATATATCCACAATCCACAATCAGATGCTAGAAGTACTCACTTTTCATGGTCTCCCGAAGGTCCCATTCTCACCCACTTGCACTCAAGTGGCCAGCTTGCAAGCCTAGACAACACTTGCATCCGGATGTGTTCAAATATGGTTGTCATATGTTGGCATCTATTTTTTCGGGGGAGCTGAATCTTTCTCCATCAAACAGCAATTTGTTCAGGGACAG